ATTCCAATTCGATTTCTGGACAGACGTGCTTTTCACAATGAAATTTCGACGAAAATTTGGGGTGAAATCAGTCAAAATAAGATTTTTCTCAAATAATTGATCATTTTTGCCCAAATCTCCACAATATTGGGAGTTTGAATGTTGATTGATGCTCCTCTCACCTTGAAAGAAATGTCTGCATAGTTTGGAGAAAATTCAATTTTTGGCTAAATTTTATCAAAAAAGCAATTGCTTTTTGGCAATTTTCCTCAAAAAATCAAAACGCTTCAAACTTGCTGGAAAGATGCCTAAAGGACCATAGTACACACTCCAATTCGATTTCTGGACAGACGTGCTTTTCACAATGAAATTTCGACGAAAATTTGGGGTTAAATTAGTCAAAAAGGATGATTTTGTTTCTGTAAAAATCGATGAATTTTGCCCAAATCTTCACAATATTGGGTATTGAATGTTGATTGATGCTCCTCTTACCTTTTAAGGAATTTCTGCATAGTTTGGAGAAAAGTCATTTTTTGGCCAAATTTAATTAAAAAAGCAAGGCTAACCCCTTGCATTTTTTTCAATTTTGGCCAAAAATTGAAATTGCTTCAAACTTGCTGGAAAGATTCCTAAAGGAATATAGAACACATTCCAATTCGGTTTCTGGACAGACGTGCTTTTCCAAATGCAATTTCGATGACAATTTGAGGTGAAATCAGTCAAAAATGATGATTTTTTTTTCTCTAAAAATTGATGATTTTTGCCCAAATCTTCACAATATTGGGTGTTTGAATGTTGATTGATACTTCTCTTACCTTTAAAGGAATTTCTGCATAGTTTGGAGAAAAGTCATTTTTTGGCCAAATTTCATTAAAAAAACAAGGCTAACCCCTTGCATTTTTTTTCCAATTTTGGCCAAAAATTGAAGTTGCTTCGAACTTGCTGGAAATATGCCAAAAGGACTCTAGAACACATTCGAATGCGATTTGTCAGACGTGCTTTTCCAAACGAAATTTCGATGAAAATTTGGGTGAAATCAGTCAAAAATGATGATTTTTTTTCTTTAAACATTGATGAATTTTGCCCAAATCTTCTCAGTATTGGGTGTTTGATTGTTGATTGATGCTCCTCTTATCTTTAAAGGAATTGCTGCATAGTTTTGAGAAAAGTCATTTTTTGGCCAAATTTCATCCAACAAGTAAGACCCCTTGCATTTTTTCCAATTTTGGCCAAGAAATCAAATCGCTTCCAATTTGCTGGAAAGATGCCTGAAAGACCATAGAACACATTTCAAATCGATTTCTGGACATACGTGCTTTTCAGAATGAAATTTCGATGAAAATTTGGGTGAAATCAGTCAAAAATGATGATTTTTTTTTCTCTGAAATATTGATGATTTTTGCCCAAATCTTCACAATATTGGGTGTTTGAATGTTGATTGATACTTCTCTCACCTTTATAGGAATTTCTGCATAGTTTGGAGAAAAGTCATTTTTTGGCCAAATTTCATTAAAAAAGCAAGGCTAACCCCTTGCATTTTTTTCAATTTTGGCCACAAATTGAAGTTGCTTCGAACTTGCTGGAAATATGCCAAAAGGACTCTAGAACACATTCGAATGCGATTTGTCAGACGTGCTTTTCCAAACGAAATTTCGATGAAAATTTGGGTGAAATCAGTCAAAAATGATGATTTTTTTTCTTTAAACATTGATGAATTTTGCCCAAATCTTCTCAGTATTGGGTGTTTGATTGTTGATTGATGCTCCTCTTATCTTTAAAGGAATTGCTGCATAGTTTTGAGAAAAGTCATTTTTTTGGCCAAATTTCATCCAACAAGTAAGGCTAACCCCTTGCATTTTTTCCAATTTTGGCCAAGAAATCAAATCGCTTCAAATTTGCTGGAAAGATGCCTGAAAGACCATAGAACACATTTCAAATCGATTTCTGGACATACGTGCTTTTCAGAATGAAATTTCGATGAAAATTTGGGTGAAATCAGTCAAAAATGATGATTTTTTTTTTCTCTGAAATATTGATTATTTTTGCCCAAATCTTCACAATATTGGGTGTTTGAATGTTGATTGATACTTCTCTTACCTTTATAGGAATTTCTGCATAGTTTGGAGAAAAGTCATTTTTTGGCCAAATTTCATTAAAAAAGCAAGGCTAACCCCTTGCATTTTTTTCAATTTTGGCCACAAATTGAAGTTGCTTCGAACTGGCTGGAAATATGCCTAAAGGACTCTAGAACACATTCGAATGCGATTTGTCAGACGTGCTTTCCCAAACGAAATTTCGATGAAAATTTGGGTGAAATCAGTCAAAAATGATGATTTTTTTCCTCTAAAAATTGATGATTTTTGCCCAAATCTTCTCAGTATTGGGTGTTTGATTGTTGATTGATGCTCCTCTTACCTTTAAAGGAATTGCTGCATAGTTTTGAGAAAAGTCATTTTTTGGCCAAATTTCATCCAAAAAGTAAGGCTAACCCCTTGCATTTTTTTCCAATTTTGGCCAAAAAATCAAATCGCTTCAAACTTGCTGGAAAGATTCCTAAAGGACAATAGAACACATTCCAATTCGATTTCTGGACAGACGTGCTTTTCCAAATGCAATTTCGACGAAAATTTGAGGTGAAATCAGTCAAAAATGATGATTTTTTTCCTCAAAAATTTGTGGTTTTTGCCCAAATCTTCACAATATTGGGTGTTTGAATGTTGATTGATGCTCCTCTTACCTTTCAAGGAAATTCTGCATAGTTTGGAGAAAAGTCATTTTTTTGGCCAAATTTCATTAAAAAAGCAAGGCTAACCCCTTGCATTTTTTTTTTCAATTTTGGCCAAAAAATCAAATCGCTTCAAATTTGCTGGAAAGATGCCTGAAAGACCCTAGAACACATTCCAATTCGTTTTCTTGTCAGACGTGCTTTTCAAAATGAAATTTCAATGAAAATTTGAGGTGAAATCAGTCAAAAATGATGATTTTTTTTCTCAAAAAAATGATGTTTTTTTCCCAAATCTTCTCAGTATTGGGTGTTTGAATGTTGATTGATGCTCCTCTTACCTTTCAAGGAAATTCTGCATAGTTTGGAGAAAAGTCATTTTTTTGGCCAAATTTCATTAAAAAAGCAAGGCTAACCCCTTGCATTTTATTCCAATTTTGGCCAAAAAATCAAATCGCTTCAAATTTGCTGGAAAGATGCCTGAAAGACCCTAGAACACATTCCAATTCGTTTTCTTGTCAGACGTGCTTTCCCAAACGAAATTTCGATGAAAATTTGGGTGAAATCAGTCAAAAATGATGATTTTTTTTCTCTAAAAATTGATGATTTTTGCCCAAATCTTCTCAGTATTGGGTGTTTGATTGTTGATTGATGCTCCTCTTACCTTTAAAGGAATTGCTGCATAGTTTTGAGAAAAGTCATTTTTTGGCCAAATTTCATCCAAAAAGTAAGGCTAACCTCTTGCTTTTTTTTCCAATTTTGGCCAAAAAATCAAATCGCTTCAAACTTGCTGGAAAGATTCCTAAAGGACAATAAAACACATTCCAATTCGATTTCTGGACAGACGTGCTTTTCCAAATGCAATTTCGACGAAAATTTGAGGTGAAATCAGTCAAAAACGATGATTTTTTTCCTAAAAAATTTGTGGTTTTTGCCCAAATCTTCACAATATTGGGTGTTTGAATGTTGATTGATGCTCCTCTTACCTTTCAAGGAAATTCTGCATAGTTTGGAGAAAAGTCATTTTTTTGGCCAAATTTCATTAAAAAAGCAAGGCTAACCCCTTGCATTTTTTTCCAATTTTGGCCAAAAAATCGAATCGCTTCAAATTTGCTGGAAAGATGCCTGAAAGACCCTAGAACACATTCCAATTCGTTTTCTTGTCAGACGTGCTTTTCAAAATGAAATTTCGATGAAAATTTGAGGTGAAATCAATCAAAAATGATGATTTTTTTCTCAAAAAAATGATGTTTTTTTCCCAAATCTTCTCAGTATTGGGCGTTTGATTGTTGATTGATGCTCCTCTTACCTTTAAAGGAATTTCTGCATAGTTTTGAGGAAAGTCATCTTTTGGCCAAATTTTATGCAAAAAGTAAGGCTAACCCCTTGCATTTTTTCCAATTTTGGCCAAAAATTGAAATTGCTTCAAACTTGCTGGAAAGATTCCTAAAGGACAATAGAACACATTCCAATTCGATTTCTGGACACACGTGCTTTTCCAAATGCAATTTCGACGAAAATTTGAGGTGAAATCAGTCAGAAAAGAAGATTTTTTTCCTCAAAAAATTGATGGTTTTTGCCCAAATCTTCACAATATTGGGTGTTTGAATGTTGATTGATGCTCCTCTTACCTCCAAAGAAATGTAAGGCTAACCCCTTACATTTTTCGTAAAAATGTTCAGCCCACCTTTTCAGATATCGAACTGAAATGTGTTTCTAGGGTCCCTTAGGCATCTTTCCTGCAAGTTTGAAGCAATTTCATTTTTGGGACAAAATTTAAGAAATTGCAAGGGGTCAGTCTTATCTTATCGAGAAATTTGGCGGAAAAAATGGCTTTTCTCCAAACAATGCAGAAATTCCTTTGGAGGTAAGAGGAGCATCAATCAATATTCAAACATACAAACAATTGAAGATTTCGGCCAAAATCATCATTTTTTTTTCTTAAAAACGTCAACATTTTGGACTGATTTGACCCCATTCTTTCTTTGAAATTTCATTTTCAAAAGCCAAACTTTCTAGAAATCGAATTGGAATGTGTTCTATGGTCCCTTAGGCATCTTTCCAGCAAGTTTGAAGCAATTGATTTTGTTTCCCCAAAATTTAAAAAAATGCAAGGGCCCTTTGATTGTTTGGAGAAAAATCAAATTTAGCCCGACTTTTTTTTATGAAATTCCGAGAAAAATTGACTTCTCCAAACGAAACAATTAATCAGTCTATGGTGAATTTTTCACCCCTGTTCTACTTAACAATTACTTGACAATTAAAATCAGGTACCAAAACAAATCACCAAAAACAAAAGTGCAATACAGATTTCTTTTATTCTGATTTTTTTTTCTCAAATCATGATTGCAGGCAACCTGATACACATGTCATTATTTTGAATCTGATAAATTACGTATTACAAATCTTACACAGAAAAAAAACCCGGTTTTCCCCCAATTACTCAATCCTAAAAAAAAAAGGAAAAAATTGAAGACAAAATTGTCAGAAGATTGCAAGAGTAACACAGGAAGAGTATTAAAAAAACGAAACCCAATTGGCAGGACAAATTTTTGAATGAAGTTTTGCCTGTAGCACTTTCAAAATCTGAGATATGAAAGCCCAATCAATGAGCTTTCTGTTAGCACAAGAATCGTTTAAATCACTCGTGTACTTTTCAAGTTACAGAATTTTGAGCACAAACACCGTTTTAAAGTTCTGTCCACGGATCCCAAAACGGTAAGTGTTCTTTTCAACAACACGAAAATGCATCCCTATGAGAATGGCTTCGTTTTGCTGAAAGAACCTTTACTTTTTTTGTGATCGGTGGACAGAACTTTAAAACGGCATTTGTGTTCAAAATTCCGTAACTTGAAAAGTACATGAGTGATTTGAATGACTATTGTACTACAAGAAAGCTCTTTAATTGGGCTTTCATATCCTAGATTTTGAAAGTGCTACAGGTAAAACTTCATTCGAAAATTGGTCCTGCCATTTCGGCTTCTGTTTTTTTTTTTTCACTCACCCTGTATAGTAACTCCAACAAAAAAATGTTCTTATTTTCATTTTTGTTTGAGTGATTTTATCATTTGTTAATCACACACAAAATCAAAAACAATATCAACCTCTCATGCAGAAGTATAAATAAGCACAAAATATTTAGGCCTTGAAAATAATCATTTTTCAAGAAATCAAATTATGTCCAAGTTTATATTTTTCACACTGTGCGCATTAGATTTTCTGTTGCTGTTTTGTTTAAATATCAAACGCAACTTCTTTTCCTTTAATTTAAAAAAAATTCAAAATTATAAGATTTCTCGTCTTTTTACAAATTACTTGAATCGGCAGCCAGCTGTCTTCAAAATTATTTACAATTTAACAAGAACCCCCCCCAAAATTAAAATGAACAAAAGCTAAAAAACAAAAAATTACTTCAGTTACAAGAAACCCCAGATTTTTGTTCTATTACATTCTAAATAAAACATCGTCCGGTGAAAAAAAAGCCTGCATTTTGCAGGGAAATCAGTAATTGATTTAAAGACCTCTTCATACAGGTCCAGCTAGAACATACATGTACACATAAATAAATTTTGTTTACAAATATACACCAGAATTTTTTGCATCATCTTGATTTTGCAGCATAACATTCGTGTATTTACATCAAACTTTTCCATACAAAATATTTCTACTATCTTGCCATAATTTCGGAAAACATTTCACCGTGACAAACTAGTGACATCCGCTTCTTAACTGATTCCTTTTCGGTTCAATGACTCAATTCACTTGGCGAATAAAATGAAACGAACAAACTGTGTAAGTTCTGATTATTTCATCTCGATTCTCTAACTACGGTGGAAGATTTTCGTCACGTAAATGTTCCTACTTACAATAAAACTTCACGGGTGTTCAAAGAGAAAAAAGGGAGTACACACTGTAAGATTCAGTAATTCTTTTTCCTCCAATGTTAAGTTAAAGGATGTTTAGTCCAGACAAGAAATATATTTAAAAAAATTTGACTGTCCAGTAAGCTAACTTGACACGTTTCTTTTGTTCAAGAATACAACCCAACATGAGATATTTTATACAGCGTTTGAATAAATCCCCGTCATCTGATTGGTGGGTTGTTGATCACATGACACCATTGGTGGCTCTGACCAATCAGATAACGAGGAATTTATTGAGGGAGTATCAAACAATAATGAATGTTTCAGATTCGTGCAATGGACAGAATAATTTTGATCGGGGGCAGATGGAATGTTTGCCTCGTGAAAGGGAACACTTCATCTGTCACCTCATGAAATTATTCTTACCATTGCACTCATGAACAATTATTACTTGTGTACCAACCAACGGCCCAATGTCAATCCCACGATGCACTGCAACGGCACTACATGAGTCCGGTTCCGGTCTAAATCCAGACCAACACCAGGCTTTTGTTAACAGTCTTTTATTCTTCGTACTTTCTTTCTTTGAAAGTTCAAAGCAAATGCAAAAGGCAAACGGACAGACCACAATCCCAATATGCAACATTAGTGAGTCTGGTTCCGGTGTAAGTACAGACCCACTACAACTTTTTGAAGAGTTTGTAATAAAAATTTGTCCAGTAACAGCTTGGAAAGGTAGCTTCTTTCCAACTCGGACATCATTCTAACAATGCATTGCATTAGCAGTGTCAAATTTATGTTCAAATCTTTTTCGAAACAACAAAACATAGGGCAGTTTTTTTTTTGTCCATTTAGCGTCTGGTCAAACTCGAGAACATTTTAAAGCAAATAACGGCCTGATGAAAAGGTCGATCCCACAATGCATTGCAGCACCGTTTCGGAAGTCTGGTTCCGGCCTCCAAGTCCCTCAGAGACTGCCAAAAAGGTCAATCCCACAATGCATTGCATTGCAGTGACACAAGTCTGGTTCCGGCCTCCACTCCCTCAGAGACTGACGAAAGGGTCCATCCCACAATGCATTGCAGTGACACAAGTCTGGTTCCGGCCTCCACTCCCTCAGAGACAAGGCGAAAAAGTCAATCCCACAATGCATTGCAGTGACACAAGTCTGATTCCGGCCTCCAACTCCCTCAGAGACTGCTATCGCTCAGTTTGCCTTTCCCGCTCTCCTGTCTCATCTCGTACGACTCACGCGCCGCGCTCCTGATGACGTTGGGAGAGTGGACACTGACCACGCTCAGTAGGAGCGGCAGATCCGACGAATCCAAGCCCAGGACACACGCGAGTTCTTTGGGCCGTGTCCGAGGGTTCTGGTCCAGGTACGACGCTAGCGCCGTGCTCTTGAAGTACACTTCTTGGAGTTGGTCCTCCAGGTGCATAAGGCACTGCAAGGGGGCGGAGAAAAGGCGCATTATGAATAACTCATAAGATATGAATAATACATATTTTTTTACTAGACCAGTCCACTAATAAATTCAAATTTATGCGTGCATGTGCAGAAGAAAATATGAAAGGTAAAAAGCACATGCGGTGCATTGGTCATATTTCCAAAATTCCGTCAGTGTTTGGTGCCGTTTGAAGGATGAAAAACCTCCAGAATCAACCAAAGCATCTGTCAACAGACAGAATAGAAAGACAGACAGACTCGGTCAGTCAGTCTGCCAGTCAGTGACTCAGTCAATGCTTCAGTCAGTGACTCACTCAGTAAGTTACTCAGTCACTCAATAACTCAGTCAACGAGTCAGTCATTTAGTCATAGTGTGTCAGTGGCTCAGTCAGTCTGCCAGTCAGTGACTCAGTCAACGGTTCAGTCAGTGACTCACTCAGTAAGTGACTCAGTCACTTAATAACTCAGTCAGCAAGTCAGTCGTTTATCCATAGTCTGTCAGTGGCTCCGGGAGTCTGCCAGTCAGTGACTTGGTCAATGCTTCAGTCAGTGACTCACTCACTAAGTTACTCAGTCACTTAATAACTCAGTCAGCAAGTCAGTCATTTAGTCATAGTGTGTCAGTGGCTCTGGGAGTCTGCCAGTCAGTGACTCGGTCACTGATTCAGTCAGTGACTAACTCAGTAAGTTACTCAGTCACTCAATAACTCAGTCAGCAAGTCAGTCGTTTAGTCAGTCTGTCAGTGGCTCAGTCAGTCTGTCAGTGGCTCAGTAAATGGTTCAGTCAGTGACTCACTCACCAAGTGACTCAGTCACTCAATAACTCGGTCAGTTAGTCAGTCATTTCGTCAAAAGTCTGTCGGTCAGTCAGTGGCTCAGGCAGCACACAAGCTGTTAACTTACAAAATCTGAAGGCATTCTGAGATTGCACATGTTCTGCACGGACTCCAGCAAGTCACCGACGCAATTGGCAGCGGAAATCTCCGCACTTAGGGGTCTGTCGGGAGACTGGCTGGTCCTCTTGCTAGAGAGAAGCTCTACGGTCCAAGTATCGGTGTCTGCAACAATGCAGACAGCTTCAGCTATTTCCCCGTCTAAAACTGAGTGCTGCAAGAGATGAAGATAATAATAATAATACCGGAGTCTTATATAGGGCACGTATCTACCAACAATTAGCTACTCAAGGTGCTGGTATTTATGTCTATCTTTAAAGACAGGTAAATGAAGTTTATGACATACATGAGACCAATATACAATATGTAGCACCTTTATAAAGGGTATACAAGGTGCTGCGGCGCATATTGCAGCCACTGCCAGAAACACCAGGGCAAACCCCTTCTCTTAGCGATAAGTGTTACTGGGTTCTTTAACGTGCATTACACAACATGCATTACACAACGCAAGGGTATTTGGTGCTTTAATAACCAATTTCTTCAAGCGATTTATAATTATTACCCCTCTTCCCAAGGCCATGAGATTAAATCTCTGCATCTCAGGATCGGCACATGACATTTTAGGCCCAATTTCAGGGCTCTGTTAACCACAGAATTCCGCGCTGATGGTCACCAGTTTGTGCTTACCACAATAGCAGACAAATTCTGTGCTAACCCTGTAAGCACAGAATCCTTAGTTGCAGGATGTATACATACGCAGAAACCAAAATTCACTAACCTGTGAAATACGCTTACCATAAGTACAGAATTGTTCTGCTATAGTAAGCAGGGATTTTTCGCTAACGGTTAGCAGAGCCAAAAAATTGGGACCCGGTCTCTACCCTTCACAGATGCTTATTTATATTCCTTGAGGAGGAGTGGCAATTGCAGTACAGTGTCTTGCCTAAGAACACAGACACCAATTTGTGTGTGCTCACAACATTCAATATGGTATATAACAATTCGGGCACGCTATCATTTCTATCACGAAGGCCCCCTTCTATGGCAAAAGCTATTGTTCAGATAGTCTGTTACAGGGCATCATTACTTTAAGTATTTAAGTCATCATTACTCTAGGTATTATTACTACAATTTTGCTTTCATTACCTGTGAAGCTTGGTCCAAGTTGGCTAGCACCTTTTTCCGATCCAGCTCAGGTACCCCGTGAAGAGCCATGTCAGGCACGTAGGTCTGGGAGTAGCCACCTAGCAAAGACCGGCCAAAGTTGTCCACATAGCTTTCGCCGGGGTCTGTATCCGGGGTGACTGGCTCCGAACTGGAGTAGAAAAATAAAAAAACATAACCAATTTTTTTTTTTTAATATATGATCCATGCTCTTCATCAAGTTTGATTTTGTGTTCTTCTAAAGTATTGGACCTACGACTAATATATTTGGAAAAAAAAATCTTTTTCAAATGTGGGCATCTTGAACCCTCTGAAAAAAAGGCTTTTATGACAGGTTGAAACCCCCCCCCCCCCCCCCCGAATGCAATCCTAAATGCCTTTTAAATTACTACTGTTAGGACAAACAAATAACTACTTGTTCATAACTGGCATTTTCTCGGCAACCCAAAAGGCAATTTTCATTATTTGTTTTCAGTATTTGAAGGAAAACGCTCTCAGCTTTTATAATCTGATACCCAAAAACATAAAAATCCACCGATCCCATTTTTTTTTAAAAGGCAAATGTTTTAGGATTGCAATTTTTTGGGGGGTCACCCTATATAGTTCGGTTTTGTACACAAGCAGATTTGTCCTCAGGGTAGACTGGTTCCCAACATTATCGATTCTGAAAGGGGGCTGCAGCCAGTCTATCCTGTGTGAACTGAATTGTTTTCTGCAAAAATTCGAAAGTATTTCACATCTTAACCCTAACAACCCTGAGCCCATCAAGCTCCAACAGCGGGTTTTGCTTGATTTTGGCAGGGTTGGTACCGAACACTGGCCAGTTGGTGTTGGACTTTGATTGACTGGGTACCAAAGGCCCAGGGAGACCCTGTTGAATTTTGTGAGGTTCGGGGCAGAAGGGCATGAGATTTGTGAACACGTTGGAGTTCACTGGCATTTCTTCGTGGGTATGCTCACCCACGGTCCTCAGCACAGCTTGTGGTCAAATGTGCATGTACATATTGCTTTATTTTGTTAGGTTTGGTACCATCCCTATCCAATCACTCGACAATGCATAGGCCCATCCATACCAAGTCAATCATACTCCAACAGTTGGAGTTTGGCAGGTTTAGTACTGTTCCCCGTACAAGGCCTGTTGGAGTTTGGCAGTTTTGGTACCAGTGCTTACAGACCTGTATGCAGCTGTTGAAATTTGTTAGGTTTGGTATACTTTCTAGTGCAAGAGCCTAGGGGGTTAGGGTTAATGTAGATGAGATCTCATTTTAAAGTGATGTTTTTTGTGAGTAATCCGGACAAAACTAAATTAAAGAAAACACAGGTCACAAAAAAAAGGAAATTAAACACTTGACTAACCCTAACTCTCTAGCATTATTAACGACCACACCCATCCTGGCAAATTCCAACACCATATGGGAAACTGCACACACATATTTCTGACTTTGATTCTGGAGGTGTGCCAACCCAATGTAAGAGACTGTCAGTTTAGGGGTACTGTACCCATCCTGACAGATTCCAACAAACTATGCCGTTGGGGTTTGGTGCGTTGAGTTCTGTTAAGGTTAAACACTGTTTTGTTTAAAGCTATAGTCCATCATTTGTAATTTGTGCATTTTGTTCGTTTGAAGCAACAAAAGGGTTCAAAATCTAATGAAGGATACTGAACAACTAACCTGATGAAGTTTCAGCTAAGCTTCAGCTGTACATTCCGAGAAAAACAGCATTCTAAGATCTCAATTTCAAATCAAAAGTTACTGAATCATGTTTTGAATTGTTTTGAATTGCAGCTTTACGCGACGTAGCGCACTGATCCGACGAATTATAACAACCGCGCGCGCGTGTGCGTCGTTCCAATACTTGTGCGCGCTGCGCTGAATAACAAAACGAACTACTAATTTAAATTTTCCTACGGTGCTTCTTAAGAATCACCGTTGGAAATGCCTTCTGTCGATGATTACTTCAAAATGACAGCTTCCCAGAAGGAATAATTTCACAGGGAGTTTAGTTCCCTTACTATCTTTCAACCAAGTTTGTTTTTCAACAATAATTACGCCACTTACTTTTGGGATGGCTGCAAATGATGGACTATAGCTTTAAGAACTCTGTTTTTTGTAACTTACAAGGCTATTGGGAGTTCTTCATGATCCGTCAGCGTCATGTCACTGTAACCTGATGATGTGGTAGAGCCATAAGAGAAGCATCGGTGGTACTTGCGGGTCGGCGACCATACCGGGGTCGTTTGCTGCCCTGTACTGTCCATGCCTCCATCGCAGAGTGCTTCACCTATCTGCAGCCTTAGCGGGGGCGTTGGACGGTGCGCAACGGCCGGGCGTGTGCTGTCACTTTCCGAATTGTCTTTGGAATAAAGTTGGTTCTCGGCGGACGCTGTTTGCGGCCATCTGGTGCCCGAGAAATCCTCATTGGTGGGCGTTTTTGCATCGAGTTCGTTAGCGCTTGAGTCATCTGAAGATTTTTCAATCTTCAGTTCTTTGGCCATTACGGATTCCTGGTAAGCGCGGGCTAGCGGACTTGTGAGCGGGAAGCGCTTGTTCCGGCGCGGCACTGGCGGAGTCCCGTCTAAGCTTTCCGTGTCCGTGTTGTCCGTTGAAGGCACAGGCGTGGCGTCAATGCTCACGCTACCTAGGTCAATTGTGGGGTACAAGTTCAAGCTGGTTGGGGCCTGCATCTTGGTGGTTGTTGATTCCTGAGATTCAGAGAAGGAGAGTTGACCAGCGGTGTCGTCTTCGGGAAGTAGTTCTGGACTTTTGGTTGGAGATGATCTTTCGTGGCCTGGCCTACTCTTATGCTTTGCCAGTCCTTCAGGGTTTGTTTTGCCAGCAGGATTCGGACAAGTGTGCTCCGAGATAAGTCCAGCTTGATTCTCTATCTGCACACTCCGGCCGACAGCCACCACGCGCTCTCGTTTCGAGTCTAGAGAAGCCTCGTCAAAAGTCTTCAGCTTTATGGAGGCAACTCCGGTAGTCCGTTGGTTTTCAGTTGGAGCGACAATCCCAACCGCGACAACGCTCTCCTGTTTAGGCACGATGACGTCCATGTTGTTAAGTAACACCGCCGGCAGCGGTTTTCTCACCTCCGTCTGGGGTGACTTGGAGATGCAAATACCGATGTCAGTTTCGTCGGCAGTCCCGGACAGGATCTTCTGCAGATCGGGGTAAAGTCCCCCCGAGGCCGATCTGTTTATCCTTCCGACCGGTTCAATGGGCAGCGTATCTGCCAAGTTGCCGGTAGACAGACTCCTAGTGGCTTCATGTCCAGACACTCCTAGGCCTACGACCTTTGACCCGGGGTCAGTTCCACTCCACGGTCTATCAGACAAAGCTTCTGAGGGGCTGTCGCACCGTTCCGCGCTCACTGCGTTCCCGTTGGAATCTGCCTTCGCATCCTGTTCCCCCCTCTCAGAGGTAGACTCTTCAATTGTCCTAACCAATTTGAGGTCATCTGTAGGTGAATTTTCATCAGCGTTTGCTGTTTGCTTAAACTTTTCAGTTCCCGCCTCTGTTCTTGGAAAAGCCTGACTGTCTGTTCTCCCTCCAGAGTCAAATGAACTCTCCAGGCCACTATCCGCAGAGTCTGAGCACAGCACTCCCTCCGTTCTGGGAACGGCATCATCAACCCCTTCCTCCGTCTTCTCCCGAATGGGGTCAATCTTTTCAAGCTCCCACGTGTCCTCGTACTCCATGTAGATCTTCTCGCGGTGCTCGGGGATCTCGTGAACCTCGCTGCAGCGGATGAAATAGCTGAGGATGTAGAGGAGGCGGCAGACCACGTCAGCACGGCGGCCGACCACGATGGTCTTGGCCACCTTGACAGGGTAGCCAATCGCACCAAACATGTCCCTGCGTAGCAAAAATTGGATTTGTAATTTTGTAAAAACGCACAGCACCTGACAAGGTACAAGGATTGGATACTCTTCAATAGAATGATAATGTCATTCTTTTCAACTAAAAAAACCCAAAACTTACCCGAGTTGGGCCCAGAGTGGGTTGTAGGGATGCGACTTTGCGAGCATATCCAGCTGCAAGGGAAGCAACAAAAAGGACTATCCTCATTATTTTTCAGATTTTCACTTTTTTTTCCCCCCGACTGCTTTTTAAAAAAAAAGAATACGTCATCCTTCAACGAAAAATTTTGTTTTAGAGGCAATGATTATGCATGTTTCTCACTCAAGTTGAATTTAGACTTGGCCCAAATCAGATCAAAGCACGTGTACAAACACACGTACACTGAAGTGGTACGCGTATTAACATGGCACTTGTGTCATTTTGAGCAAGACACTGCTAATGGAATTCAGGGCTTGGATGTGCAGGACATCACTACATGAAAGAACGAGGAATGAAGTCCTCCTTCAGTCAGTGGGCCTGATGGGGGTAGCAGAGGTTATGAGGATTAACAGGCTTAGATGGTATGGACATGTGGCTAGGAGAGAGGCAACACACTGGCTCCAGAGAGCTTTAAATTTTCGAGTCACCGGAAGAAGGCCCCGTGGGAGACCCAGAAAAACCTGGAGGGAAACTGTAGAAGATGCCAAAACATCTGGTATCGCTCACATGGACCCCACAGACAGGAAAGCTTGGAGAGCAGCCATTAAGGAAATGAATGTCCAACCCCACAAAGTGGGACAGATGGACTCTAAACGCTGATGATGATGTTGTGATGGCAGTGTGTGTCGGAGATATGGAATTAAGTTCGACTTGAGTCAGATCACTCCTAATTCAAAAGTTGTTGATTGATTGATTATTCAATGTCTTATTGACAAGTTCATAACCTTTGAAAATGCTAACAAATGATCAATTCAAATTTAAAATTTATCTTAAAAAGTACGGGGACCCTCTCTTTAAAGGTAAAACTGTGGCTCTCTTATGGTGAAAATGCATCAATTTGTTTTGAAAAAATAAATGGGTTTGATGTTTTACCAAGGTAGAGGAGTGTTTATCCAGATAGGCCCGGCTAGGCGTTGCTTCGGCTGGTACTACCGTCGGTACCCAGGCCAGATGGTACATCAGTACGGCTGTCAACAAACGACTGAAGAAACTGCGGGGAAAAAATAGGAACAGTGTAAAATTGTGTTCCACAAACTGCCCAAAAGATCGCTTTGATTCAGAAGATTAATTGAGCAGTTCCTTACCAGTTTATGGTGGACTGGGTAACACCGAGGTTAAACTGAAATTACACTATGGTAATACCGAACCTTCACTGAGGTTAAACTGAGGTTACACTCAAAATTACACTGAAGCTTCACTGAGGTTGAACTGAGATTACACAGACTACACTGAGGTCATAATGATGTTCCACTAGGGTTAAACGGAAGTATTAAACAATGAGGAAATACTAATTATATAGTGAGATAAAACTAAATAATACTCGGACTTCACAAAGGTTAGGGTGAGATTACACTGAGGTTATACTGAGTTTTGACAACGGTTATGAAGTAACATTAAAAATACAATCAATACCACTAAGACATCCCTGAGGTTAAACTGAGGTTACACTACATGTAAGACTGAATTGAAGCTTCACTGAGATTATGCCGAGGTTACTTTGAGAAAACAGCTTTCCAGTGAGGTTAAATGAGGTTACTCCTTAAGATTAAGCTGAAGATTCACGAATGCGAAACTGAGGTTACACTGAGATTCACCAAATCATACTGAGGTTAGTCTAAGGCTACACTGAGATTACACTAAAATTATGCCGAGGTTTTGCTGAGGATGAACTGAGGCTATACTGATATTACACTGAGGTTACTCTGCGTCTTTGCTGAGGTTATATCTGAGGTTGCACTTGAGATTACACCGACGTTTCACTGAAGTTACACTGAGTTAACACTCGGATAACACAGAGGCTGTAATGAGGGTTGAAGTGAGATTACATAGAGGTCTCCCTGAGATAATACCGAGGTTTAACTGAGATAAAACCGAGGTTAGCCTTTCAAGTTTGTCTGGTTGTTGTTGTGGGACTCCAGCTCCACCATTAGCTCATGCATCAGGTGCTCGCAATCTGAGGCTACACTGAGATTACACTAAAATTATACTGAGGCTTTACCGAGGATAAACTGAGGTTTCACTGAAACTACACTGAGGATATGCTGCCTCCTTACTCGGATAACTCAGATAACACAGAGGCTGTAATGAGGGTTGAATTAAGATTACACTGAGATTTCACCGAGATAACACCGAGGTTACTCTACGTCTTTACTGTGGTTACACCGAGGTTATGACGACGTTTTACGAAGCTACACTGAGCTAACACTCAGATAACACAGAGGCTGTACTGAGGGTTGAACACAGAGGTTTCACTCAGAAAACACCGAGGTTAGCCTTACAAGTTTGTCTGCTTGCTGTTGTGGGACTCCAGCTCAACCACCAGCTCATGCATCAGGTGCTCGCACAGGTGGCCGCGCTGCATCTGATAGGTCATCATGTTGAGCCAGATGGGCCGCTGGATCCTGGGGGCGCAGTATAAGGAATAGACGGCCGAACGGAACTCGTCGAGGGCCTAACGAAAGGAAAGGGAACAATAAAATACAAATTAGTAAGAAGTGTTACCATTGATAGTGTAACAGCCGTGGTATTGTGCGGCAGCCTAAACTCATCAAGAAGGTATGAAAGTGTTGAATAAATGCGGTGCAGTGTTTTGTCAAATCAAACTCTGATGAAGAAATCTCTAGTTTTTTTTTTTTCTTCTTTTTCTCTTACGTCCATAATGATGGGTATGACAACCGTCCTCCTCTGGTAGGTCAGTGCCTTCTCCACGGCCAGCGACAGACGGCGGAAGTGGCCCTCAAAGAGCATGAAGTGCGAGAAGAAGAACGTCTGGAAGTGTCGACTGCGTCCTTGGTCCTCCTCCTCTGGCAGTGAGATGACCACGCCTAGGCCTATCTTAGGGTGGCGTCTTCTGTTCATGGGCTACGAGAACAAGAAAGAACAAGACAAGGAAAGCCTGGTAATGCTGGACCTCATTTGATGCGGGGGGAGGGGGGGAAGGTTGCAGCAATTTTTCCTCATTTTGTTTTATCTCTCTTTTTATTAATAATTCACAATTCAAAAGTGTTTTGCATCTAATTTCACAGCTGGATCTATAGACACATCCATGATCACTGTATGCTGAAGAGGCCCGCTTCAATGGAGCACAATTGTGCACGTTATGGTACAAAGTAGTCCGAACATTTGGGACTCTCAATACTGTGTAAGATATTTTTTCCAACTTTCACTCGGGAGGTAACACACCGAGAATACAGTGTTTACACGTCGGTTAAGGGCAAAACCTAATATTGATTTACATCACCCCGACGCAAAATTCCATCTTATGAATAGTTAAATGCGGTACCCGCTTATATGTACATCGGATTCGAACCAGCCAACCGATCCAATAAGCTCTGTGGTTGAGTGGTAAGACGTCTGCTCTAGAAAGCAGGAGGTCGTGGGTGCGAGTCCCACCCGAGTGATTTTTTTCAACTTAAACTCGGGAGGTAACACACTGAGTATACAGTGTTTTTACGTTGGTGAAGGGCAAAACCTAATATTGATTTAGAGTCCCAAAACTTAAGGTATTGAAAACCTGAAACAACCAGTCCAGCACCGCTTCAGTACTGCATCAATCAACTGTGCCAAAAGAATAATCTAGCATGTCTGGTACTAGTCTTTATTTCTACACATTTCTCCACAGTCAGCCACCAGACTAATGACACTGAATGAAGAGGTCGGTCTTTTCAAACAGTTGGACCATGGTTGGACATGTACCAGTCTAGTGTTTAGCCTCTTTTTGAAATCACTTGACTTCCCTCTCATGTGCAAAATATTGAAGAAAAGTCTCCTTTAAAAAATTGAACTGAGTCTTCAAACTGGGTCGATGAAATACTGAGGACCTTTTCTGAGCCCGATGAAAATTTTGGACAATTTTGCTGGCTAAAGAGGGAGTAAAGTTGGCCTGATTTCGTTTTGCATGTTTTTCAGCACTCCGTGACGGATTATCTGAATAGCTAGCTAGCACACAACTTTGGCCATTAAAGGGGGCCTTCGTGATGGAATTGACAGCGTGCCTGGATTGTTCTGTATCTTGAAATGCGGGGGAAAAAAACTGCATGCATACCTCATCGACCATCAGCGTCTCAAGCGACGACTTTCGCCGGACGCCGTGCTCCATGCTGGTGACTTGGTTGCGCATCCAGCGTCGGTGGAAGCTGTTTGATTGGTTGCTGGACACGCTGCTGCCCGGCGACGGGAACGGGGTCAGGAAACTGCTGCTGGATCCTAATCGGGGTCAAAGTTGAAAGGTTAAATATGGATAAAAACCATTATCAGATTGTGCCTTGTGCACAGGGTAATTGTAATTTAATAGCAATTTTCCTGTTAACCATATATCTTGACTAATTGGAGAACTGCCAACACAGGGCTGGATATCTCATTTGGTAAGAGCACCGGAACGGTAATCCGGAGGTCGCAGGTTCAAATCCCACTCCAGTCAATTTATTGTTTTTGTTCAATTTTCAATCTATACATCTAGCATTATCTATATGTATATGGTATTTATCTTTTAAAATAGATGGTTATTTTCTTTATGTTCTATATTTATTTATTATTTATGATTTTTATTTATTTTATATGTATAGACACTCTTTGCAGTTGTTCTTTTCAGTTTCGGGATTTCTGAAACTGTTTTGGAATGATAACCTACCAGAGACGACGCCGCTGTCCTCATCAATGCTGTTGTACGGGGAGGATGGTGGAACCGCTACTGGTAAACTGTGGGCTGCAGACATGAGGGAGAAAATGAAATGAATTGTGATCTACCGGGTACAATAGGGTAACTTCAAGGTACATGTATTTAGCAGAGAGTCAATGGGTGTAAACTAGGCGTCACTGGGTGGATCAGTCATCTGAAAGCCACTTATAGAATAATTGCCACAGAGCTGATTGCATTTCGTTTTAGAATTTGTTAAGGTTGAACTGGGTACAATAGGGTTGCTTGAAGGTATTTAGCAGTGTCAATGGGCCTAACTAGGTGTCACTGGGTGGATCATTCACTTGAAAGCAACTGAACTAGGTAAATGGGCTGCTTTACATGTATGTTATGTGGGAAGAAGAACTGGGTGTCACTGGGTGTAAACTGGGCATAACTAGGTACAATAGGGTTGCTTTATGGTATTCAGCTAAGTGTCACTGGGTGTAAGTAGGCGTGACTGGGTGGATCGTTAACTCACCAATGGATTCCCTGGCAGGGCAGTCTGTACGCTGTGGGACCATCAGCTCCACAGGAGCCAGGCTAATACTATCTTGATCACTGCAACAAACAAACAAACAAAAAAGAAGCCTCTAATTTATGAAAATGTACAACGAAAATAAGATACTTGCCAATTTTTAGCAGATTACAATTTCAATGCATCTGGGGGAAAAAAACAACCTCGTCATTTTTTTAAAATTTCTTTTAATTTTTTTTGCATTTTCTTCCACTATAGAAGGAAAATTCAAAGCGCCTCATTAATGACAATTCTTCCGATTCTTACAGGTTTTCTTTGGGTCGTAGGACGAACACTTGCGACAGCATGAGCTTCAGCGGAGACTTGATGGTGTGAACTTTGATCGTCGACCCCCGGTAGGCCATGGCAACCGAGCCGTACATCATTTCTCCCAGAAGAATGATGTCCGAGCTGGGGCGCAGACACTAAAAATGTCAACAGAAACAACTAATAATTAATAAATTAACTAAAAATGATACTAAAGGCACACAGGATTTTTTTGATTTTCATGCATATGTTTCATTTGAAGCAACAAAGTTGCTCAAAATCTTAAGGCGGGCACAACACAACTATCTTGTTGAAGTTTCAGCTCTGTAGAAACTGTACATTTTGAGATGACAGAGAAAAAAAACGTTGGCAAAATTTTCCGGTCTGATCTGGATTCCGTCACTTTCGTGATGACTTGTGATGGACTTGTGATGACTTGTGATGACTTGTGATAAATTGTGATGAACTTGTGATGACTTGTGATTGACTTTTAACTGACTTTGATTGACCTATTCTTGACTTGTGAATGACTTGTATTGACTTGTGATGACTTGTGATGACTTAAGATGACTTGAGATGACTTGTGATGACTTGTGATGTCTTGTGATAGACCTGTGATTGACATGTGATGGACTTGTGATGACTTGTGATAACTTAGGCTAGACTTGTGATGACTTTTGATAAATTGTGTTGACTTGTGATAAACTTGTGATTGACTTGTGTTAGACTTGTGATGACTTGTGATTGACTTGTGATTGACTTGTGATAGACTTGTGATTGACTTGTGATTGACTGTGATTGACTTGTGATAGACTTGTGATGACTTGTGATAAACTTGTGATTGACTTGTGATAGACTTGTGATAACTTGTGATGACTTGTGATTGACTTGTGATAGACTTGTGATGACTTGTGATAGACTTGTGATAAACTAGTGATAACTTGTGATTGACTTGTGATAGACTTGTGATAGACTTGTGATAGACTTGTGATAGACTTGTGATGACTTGTGATAGACTTGTGATTGACTTGTGATAGACTTGTGAAAGACTTGTGATTGACTTGTGATAGACTTATGATAGACTTGTGATTGACTTGTGATAGACTTGTGATAGACTTGTGATGACTTGTGATTGAATGGTGATGACTTGTGATGACTGGTGATGTCTTGTGACGACTTGTGATCAAATCACAATCACCTCAACTGAAACACTGGGTTATACTCACTGTGTATTTGTTGGCTGGGTCGCCAGTGGGGTTCGGAGAACCGGTGTTCTCCGACTGCCTAGTTTCCATGGGGCTATTCTTTCCTGAGGCGTTGACGCCAAAACGTCGGCCAAACTTGCACGGATTTCCCTTAGCAGGCGAGGGCTAAAAAAGCGGAATTTCAAATTCAACAAAAAACCACACATCATGAAAAAGAAAAGAACTATTTACAATGAAATGAAAGTGATACTTCTTGGAATGCATTTCGTTGACGCCAAAACGTCGGCCAAACTTGCACGGATTTCCCTTAGCAGGTGAGGGCTGAGTAAAGGGGAATTTCAAATTCAACAAAAAACCACACATCATGAAAAAAGAAATGAACTATTTACAATGAAATGAAAGTGATACCTCTTGGAATGCAGTTCGTGAGAGCTGTGTATCTTTAAAAATATTCAATACGCAAAAACGGGTTATGTTCCTTACCTCCGCCTTTTCTTCATTTTTCTTGATGGCTTTGGAGTCGAAGAGGAGTTTGCGTTCCTTCTGATCACATTTGATGAATACAATGAGCCGGATCTGCTCCTGGTCAAACTCGGGAGCTTGCCAACTGCAGATACATTAGAAAAACCAAAAGGAGAAATATACAGTGTTACTGTAGTCTGTAACTTAGTCTGTCCGCTGTTGACGAGGTGATTCGTCGGGGACGCCTTCGCTGGTTTGGTCACCTCCAGCGTATGAACGAGGACAGCTGGCCGAGGAAGATCCTCGACTACCAGATCGCTGGCAACTACCCACGTGGCCATCCAGAGACGAGGTGGAGCGACAACATCAACAATGACCTAAGGTTCCTGCAGATCAATGCCAGTCTGGCATTGAACCAAGCGTGGTGGTGGAAAGCTATCCAACCAAGAGGACATGATCATCGTGGAGTCCAACCCTCCAGTTTGGGGACAAACGGACTATAAACAGATGGATACTATATCTCATGCATATTCATGATTGAGAGCCAAATTCTCACTGGTTCTTTCACCACTTGGTATCAGCCGGCAGTTTTACCGTTTACCAAGCACGCATGCGAGGATTAACGCACAGGGTAAATACGCATGCATAGTAGACATTGGGCTTTGAGTGCATGTACATGTACCCCCTCAACGTTAAGAAAGGGAGAGTTGGGGGAGACCACTGGGAGAGACATTCAAACGCATTACCGACAAAGCCTGGCGTTCACGCAGAGACGCTATGGCTTTGAGCACATTCAGAATAACATTAGTCATGTGTACTTCATGCTATGCAAGTGCGGACCAGAACGTGCATGCACCGTGCCCCATCCATGGGGCTCGGAAATGTGGTCAAAAGGCTCCCTCTCTTGTTCGTGAACGGAGCCCACTGCAAGGGTTACCTGTGCGCTTGTCTACTACGCATGCGTTTTACAGTGCAGTTGTGGAGCAAGCGCACAGCAATCGCACGGGGTAGTGTGCACGCGCGAATATCGCCCCGGTTAATGTGCTAACTTTGGAGGTCTACATTCCTCAAAGTAGTCGCACAACAGAAAAATCTACTCCCATACAAACGTCACCACTGCTATAATGTACAAACTAACAGGACAGACTTTGAGTAAGCAGGAAAGTTTTTCCTCAAGCGAGCGTTTTTTTCCCCGTATTAACAACACAATTTTCTGAAAATAAGCTGCAGTTGCGGTTTTCCAACCAAACCCTACTCACATACATGTGCGTTAAAACCCTACACCTACCTACAACAAGTCCGGGCCATAGATTCCGGTGTCCGTCCGTCCACGACATTACGATTTGCGGCGGACTGAAAGCCCAAAACACCAACTCTTGACAACTTTCCAACTAAACTCTTGAAAGCGTCCCATTTACTTGAAGGCAAATCGTAAATCTCCCTCCGATTGTTTGAGTTCAGTTTCGTGAACATCGTCGCATCCGTGTATCACGTTTTTGGAAATTTTCTTTTTCTAAGTAATATTTTACTTGTCCAACTTTGAGAACTTCTTTGTTTAATAACAAACTTTCAAAGTAAGATTGTACAATGTATTTTTAACATCACTTGGCCTTGCAGATCAAATCTTCTGTTTCCTTTTTTGCAATGTCAGACAATTTTCTTCACAGTATTTTTTTTTCTCAAACTAAACCCACACAAGCAATATTGATGATTAATCATAGCAAATACAAACATGTGCATTTAGTCCTTAAAAATTAAAACCAAAATGACACAAATATTTTGAAAGAACAACAAAATATTTCTCATTAAACAAAAATGAAAGAAACGGTGACGCAACTTGAAACTCTTAAACCGACATCAAGATTTTGTATAACGGAGCCAGGCTATCGCGTCCCCACAATGACTCACAAACACGAGACACGATTGTTGCGCGGCATGACGCAGCACTACCCCCCCCCCCCTTCCAAACTTGCGCTGGAAGTCTACAATTGGCCCGAAGTAACCGCAGTTTGTCAAGACGTGGAAATCCCTACTTTGACTTCAGTGTCATTCAACTTCAAGGTCGGGCGATGACAACACAAACAGAGTCCAGAACTCAGGTGTCACAGTGACGACAATTGAGATCATGGGGGAAAAAAGTCGCATTGAAACGGTTGTTGAATGGCAAAATTGTAGCATTTTCAGACTAAAGAAAACATGTGTGTTTTAAACTAAGAGACTTTAGAAAGTACATGGACAGTGTCTTGATGTTCAAGTTTGGACCACTTCCTTCTTATTTTGACCTGATGATTGCCTTTACCTGTACTTAATTTACAAAATTCTCCTCAAAATAAATCATCACTCATTACTACAGAATCTCAATATAGCAGACTGAAACAATTTACCAAAAATAGAAAGAAAAGGGCAATATTTTAAAGGAGAAAATAATCTATATTGATTAAAGGGGCATGCAACATAACTTTTATTTAAAATGCAATCCTTGAAAATGCACATTTGTGACCCATTTAACCTTATTTTTCAATTTTCCTTTTGCTATTTTCAAGGGTACTTTTGGTGCTTTTTTGGTTTTCATGCTACGGCTACTTTTGTGTACACATACATGTACACATGTATGTATACATGTAACCTACATTTGTAATGTTACACAGCACCAAAACTTGCCAGAATTTTGTCCGAAAACAAGGACATTTTTTTTTAATGTTTAAACTAAATTAAGGTACAGGTAGTGCACTTTTCAATTAAAATTAACCAAAAAAGAGATGTCAAATACTTAGTTTTCACACATTTCAGAGGAGTGGAAACAAGTACAAATGTGTTCCAAAGAAAAAGTTCCCTGACCTTACAATTGCCCGACGTCTATGAGTTGCTCCCTTTCATCTTAAGTGGGTCAGGGAACCAGACTACAGGAACATGATTGTTTTTCTAGGTTTTTGCAACATCGATACGAACACAAAATTTCAAACAAGTCAGTGTAACAATATTTACTATAAAATACTAAACCCAAAAATCCATCCATTTCTGAAATTACAACAAATGCAAATGTTGTATAAGGGATTGATGTATTTGGATTAAACAAGTACTCATTCGATTCACTGAAAAAGGCGAATACCCTTTTTATATAACCCTTGGTGTGCACACGCAATGTGCACATCATACATGTACGACAGTCCTTCTGTAAATTGAGGCGTGCGATCACACCCCTGGCCCCACGCCATCACATGCCTAAATGCTTCCCGAGAAGCGTGAACAATCGCACGCCTGAATCCCTCAGTACCGCACACCTCGGCATACGTACATTTACAGCATAATTTGTGAAAAATAAAGTACGTCAGTGAAGAGAAAATGGCTTTATTGTATAAAACCAAGATGAATATTATGAAATAATATCCCAGCTTGGACCATAGAATCACACACCTAGAAAAGTCACTCGCCTAGAAAATCACAGGCCTAGAAAAATCACACACCTTAAAAATCCAGGTGTGCTTTTTTCCACACACCTGTGATTTCCAAATCAGAAGGCCTGATACAACGGAGGAGTATAATTACAATAGAGCACGTCTCGACTGCACTATGAATGAACTTTCCAACAATCCAAAAAAGGTCAATGCCTATATGTACACGCACACCCAACGTGTACAATGCACACCCACACGCAGGCACTATCAATGAAGTCTTGTGACTTGACCACACAATGATAAAATTCCGTTCACCAATTCACGTGATGACAACTACACCGTGTAGTGCGGTCTTATCAGTCCATTCACGGGCATGTGATCTGGCATCCTTGTTCAGTTGGCACTGCAGGGCTCCACGACTGAGCTTTTCTGTACGAAATTAAGCCACACCTCTATAATACTTAAACTGATTCTTTTAACAATAAAAAAGACATAGTGTCAGTGCCTTATTGCAAATCTCTGACAGCAAAACTGAAATTTTGCATCAGATTGGGCCAAGGTTTAGTGCAAGTGAAAACATTTTCTAAATACTTTTAATTCTTTTGAAAATTAAAAGGCTGTATTCGACAAGCACACAAACACGCGTACATGTTTAAGTTGATAATTGATACCCATTTGTATTTTGAAGGCACTGCTAGTTACATATACATGTAACATGTTCTTGTTTGTCAACATGTTTTACCCTTAGTAGAAAGAAGTATATTTATGCGTACCTGAAATCTACAGTAGGTGAACTTTGTAGGAATAAATCCAAGCAATAAAGACCAAAAATTCAATTTTTCCTTGACATATCTCGGCTTACAATGTTCATTGTACAGTGAAATGTTATGTAAAATAATAAAATCAAAAAATTTTGTTTTATATAAAACTTGCCAAAATACATAATTTGCATACACACATGTACATTGTAATTTGCCAAAATGTCATGATTTACCAAAAAATGTAATTTGCCAAAATGTACTATGTACATTTACATTTGCCAAAATGTACTGTACGTATATTAATTTGCCAAAATGTATTGTCAAAATGTGTGTAATTTGCCAAAATGTACATGTAATTTGCCAAAATGTACATGTACATGTACATTGTAATGTGCCAAAACGTATGTAATTTGCCAAAACTACAAAAATGTATGTACCGGTATGTACTTTGCCAAAACATATGTCATTTGCCAAAACTGTACATTTAATTTGAATCACATCAACATGTACATGTACATGTACCTGGTACATTGTGCAGATATCAGTCTGACCACATTCCAATCATAGCAGGATCCTTCCCAATGGTACACGCACATAATATTATTATGCACAACTAACAAAATATGATTCCGGTTGTGGTGGCCAAATTAGTCTTCAGCATCTCCCGACGAAATTCATTCAGTTTTTCTGTTAGCTCCCTCCCATATTTAGTATTCAGGCAGTACACCCAAACATCCAACAATAAGGTCTTGACCTTTCATTGACTAAGTGTATGGCATTGGCCTGCCCATGGATGTGCCCCGCATACCTAATGACCATCTCAATGGTCAGAGAATGACCACAAGGCCACAAACTGTGTGTTGACCACTGGGATAGGGGCAAACCTGTATGTTTGACCCCCTAGTCATCTTTTTGGCCAGCCAGGTCAACAAACACAACCATCAATATGATGTCCCTGGCTACCTTCTGTCAAGGACAAGAAAGGACACTTCCTAGAAGTGGCCTACATACAATGTCTGCATCATCATCAAAGGAATAATAGCCATGCTTTCCTTGAAGTTGAAAGTGAAGTCAGGTACCTGAGAACAATGTATTTGCATGTCTTGAACTTTTTTTTGTTCTATGCCCCCCCCCCCCCCCCCCCCCCCCCCCCCCCCCCCCCCCCCCCCCCCCCCGAGTGTCACCAAAATCACTCCAAAAGTGAACATGAAGTTTGAAAAATCAAGCCAATACTCCAAAAGCAGGAATGCAACTGGGGACTTAGAAAAAAACGAGGAAACTCAAAACCACACAAGACTTTGTACAGTGTTTTTCAATTTGTAATGGCATTCATGAGAAGTAAAATCAGCAGATCCGAAGAAAAGTTGCACGCCTGAAAAAGAGAAACTCAAACCTCAACACGAAACTCAAAAAGTCAACTCGCTACTCAAAAAGCCACTCAACACTCAAAAGTTCAACTCAAACCTTGAACAGTCAACTCAAAACTTGACAAGCCAACTCACAACTCAAAGTCAACATGAAAGTTGAAAGGTCAACTCGGAACTCAAACAGGGCAACTCAAAACTCAACAATCAAAAGGTCAAATTGAAACTCGAAAGGTCCACGCGAAACTAGAAATGCCCGCTCGAACAGTCAACTGAAAACCTTGAAAGGTTAATTCAAAACACATAAAGTCTACCATGTACATGTAACTCAAATCTTCTGCTTAAAAAACTCATGTCTACTCAACAGAAAGTCAAATCATGAAGAAAAGAAACCCTAATTTTAGACTTAAGGTAAACTCCCCCCAGCATCCCCCTAGCCAAACCCCTATCTTTCCTAAACTGTGTAATGGGAAAATGGCCCAGAAATCTGCAATTATGAAACAGGCAAGTCATACTTTGTTGATCATTAACGATTGTTCTTGCAAACCACCTTTGAACTAAATTGCATAATATCAACATCTCATGTGGACTTTAAACAGTACATGTATGCCTTGGCCTTGTAAGTCACATGCCACTGACCACCTACATTGTACGTCGCACGAGCGTAATCAACATTGTTACGTACACGCGCTATAATTGGCACAGTCACGTGCCTATTTGGCACACGTTATACAATACTCATAGATTACAACCACAATAGTGATGTGTACAAAATGTACATGTATTTTGAAAACTTTGGTTGTGCGAGTAGTAATGGTCATGATGGTAGGGATTAATGTGCAATTCATTCTTATCACTTGGTTCAAATTTAACCAAATTGTTTTGGGATGTGAAGACGACCTTCTCAGATGACAAGGGCAGGACCCATTTATAACTTCACTTAATTTTTCTCTAAAGATTCGGAAACTGGAATATTTTCTACAATGAAACCTTGCACAAGCAGTGCGGTGGGCCAGTGGTTACGGTGTTCGACCCATGAACCCTGACAGGGACCGTGGTGCTTGTGTTCTTGGGCATGACACTTTACTACAATTGCCTCTCTCCACCCAGGCTCATAAATGGGTACCTGTGAGGGTAGAAACAGATTGCACTGATGCTTGTGTTCTTGGGCAAGACACTTTACTACAATTGCCTCTCACCACCCAGGAGTATAAATGGGTACCTGGTAGGGTAGATCAAGGCCAATTTGCACTGATCTTGGCTGCAGAAAAGTGGTCTCGTGGTCTGGTGGACTGGGGTATTAACTGTTTGCGCTTTGAGACCCAGTTTTGGTGGAAAGCATTCCATATTGAAGCAACTCTATTGCAATTCATGTAACGCATTTATAAGGATTCACTTCGAACCCAAACTTTTTAAGGGGCAATGATCCCATTCTTAAGCAACTGAATGGGCTCTTTCATTCTCAATCCTACAAAATCCTTCAAAAGCTCACATACATTATAACATGACCAATATAACGGTGCATGATACCACATAAAAATATGCACAATTGTTTCAACAAACATTTGTGTACACAACAAAGTATTAAACAGCCATTCTAGTACCGAACACTAATTCTGATTGACATGACAATTTCATATAAAATTCAAAAAAAATATAACCAATTCTGGCCCACACATAAAGTATCGAGATATTTTGAAAACGAAAGAAAAAAAAAGTGATGTACATGTATAAACGGAAGTATCACTATCAAGTATTAAAAAAAGGATTACATGTATTATGTACAGTACATGTATGTTTTTAACTACATTTTAACATATGGAAAATGGAAATGAAACTCACCTTTTATAGGATGCTAGCACTTCTGGTGATCTGGAAATACAAAAAAAAAAAATAATCATTAATTTTTAATTTTCTTGGTGCTTAGGCGTCCAGTTGTAAATATGCAATGTCAGTTTGGGTTACATACAATGTACGTGTAAAAAATGGCAAAAAAAGAATATTTGGATGTAACATTGACACGGTGTCCGAATGTTACGTCCGAATTAATACATTTTTCCTCATATTTTTGTAAAAGTACTTTCAACTGATTTCAAACTTTCTCAAGTATTGAAACACCCTAAGACAAATATTATGTTGAGCAATTGTTTAGAATGCATCAATTGATACTTTTAATAAAATAACCAAATATATGGATGTAACATGCACTGCTTCCCGCAAACGCGGTGGAATGACCCATTTTCAAATGCCATGTAATCGGAAGCAGACCTTTTTTTTTTTGCCTTATAATATAAAATTGAGAAATAGGATTTCATCTTTAATCCCCCCCCCCCCCCCGGCAAAAAAAACCAAATGACAATTTAACGATTCTTAGGCTTTATATCCGTTGAATCACATTTTAGTCATTTGGCGGAAAGATTTCCATATACGAAGTTCACTCAACACCCTGTGTACAAACTCTATGAGATTGGACTGAAAAATTCTAAGTGTTTTCTAAGAAAATGCTTGTATTTTCTCACTGCTCAAATTGACTTTGATGACATGAAATTGCTATCTGGGGGCTTGTTAGTCAATACAGAGGAAAATTAGTGAACTTCGTATATGGAAATCTTTCCCATTTGGCTTGGGAGACTCCAACATTTTTGGAATCCATGCCAATTCTGTCCAGGAATCGCAAGTCCATTTGTTATCGATTCCAATCTTTGCCAGTGGAAGAAAAAACATTTGTAAACAGTCCAATTGAATAAGGCAGGAATAAATGTGTTTGCGGGAGGTATTCTAAAACTCTGTTTAAGACCGGTGGGCGTCTTGATGGGTGATAATAATAAATTACCCAAGGCGAAGCCGAGGGTAATTATCACCCATCCAGATGATTTGAAAAGTGATGTGAGGCTTATACTACATAGACATGTATACAGTTAACAATGTAACTTTAGCATAAACAACGAAAAAGAAACCAAAAAAAAGGACCCAAAAAAAATTTGAACTAGGCCTACACCAAAAAGATGTATTACAAAATCTTTGGGAATTCTGAAAATGTTCAATGTTTTCAAACAAAATAGGAAATGTTTTTCTCTAAAAAATTCTTGATTTTCATGAGAAATAATGACCAACAATACTTTTTGTCTTGAGATTATAATTTTATGCTGAAAGGAATGGTAATAAAGCATATTGCTGTGGTATGTACATGTATGGGTCTTCAACCAAAAAAAATAACAAATATAAATTGCGAAAATACGAAAATAGGGCCTACAAATTACAATACATGAAATATAGGAAAAACTAAATCTAGCCTAATAATAATACTATAGTAACATGCCTTATTTGTTTTTTTTTATATTTCTTGCCTAATAATCAGCGGGGAAAAGACAATATTGAACTTAGTAATAATATGATTATGATAAGGAACTTTGACAAAATCGTAAAGTGATAATTTCCCGTTCAGTATAAACACAAACAGTTTCGTTTCTGGAACGTCTAGTAAAAATGTCTGATCAATTGAAATTGCAACTTACGAGAAATTGTAGTCTTTCTTGTGGGAACGGTACGGGCGAAACCACCGTCCCTTCTTGTCGCGGCCACGGTGGGGAAAATGCGTCGGTACAACGCCATGATACCATGGTCCTACGGTACCTCCGTACCATTCAAACTCAAGGATTACATCTGGAATTAAGTTTTGGAATCGCCATCGTCACGATCGTCATCTTTTCACATATGTGGCCATTCGTCACTTTTTATTGACAGTTCTTGTGTTTTGCAATGCGGTCGAAGTGATATCATCACATGACTGTGTGTGTTACGTTGCCACAAAGAGTCTGAGGTCTGTTTGGTCCCTTTTCACACCCGTTGTTTTACAGTAGCAGTGGGTCTGGGTTTAAGGCAAGCACAGCGGTATTGCGGATTAGTATACAGTGTTCTCAATAGGAATATACAGTGTATTTTTTTTAACGGTGGGGAACCAGTCTGAATTAGTCACGAGACAGGCAACCTCGTCCCCCAGTGCTTACTTTATTTCTAACCACGTTTCTGAATGGTATGAGAGAGAGCAGGTAGTGGTGCGCGCGTACTGCTCGAAATCCTGAGGACGAGGTGAGAGACAGGGTTTTTTTTCTGAATGGCAATGGTGTATCCAGTCATAGAGCTAGGACCAATGAAATAAATTTGAACGGACGCCAATCTGGGAAATGGTTAACGCCATCATTTCAATACAAGACTTTTGACACCAAAACTAACGCTTTATCTCTTAAATAACCCCCCACCCCTTGAAATTCGAAAATTAACCCCAAAATGGCCTTTTCTGGCTATTCTGCCGATTATTGTTGTAGTAAAGATGAATAAAGACTTATTATTTCAGAAACATTCTGGAACAAATGGAAAGAGTCGGAAAGATGCTTAGCTTGAGGTGCTGCTTTGAAAGTTTAACCCCTGAAAGAGGCAACAGGAGCATAGCAAGGGCATTTACATGTATATGGGGGATAATTACAATGTCTTGAAAAGGGCACTTGCACATCCAGGCTGAAATGTATATACAGACACATTTTTTCTCAGTACACTTGGCCTCCGTAAAATCAAATTGGGGGGGGGGGGGGGGGGGGGGGGGGCTGGTACCATCTATCGATGGGGGTGCTGTTCTAACCGAAAATTATGCGCACTAGCATAACGGATGTATGCTGCTTTAAGTTCGCGATCATACATGCATTCTTACGAAGGCGCCCATACAGCCGATGGCACACTAATGCCATGACTTTTTGTAAAGTAATGATTTATAGACATCCTGTATAATTCGTGATTGCACTGATAATGTAAGTAGGCTGATTCAACGGAAATTACTAGGCCATCTTTATTAAAGATGAAAAGACGGACATGGATGGACATTCTTGAATCATACTACTTTCATTATTATGTTTAATCCAGCTCTTGTTCCATTTATTACTCATTCAATGTAGAATTGGTATCATTCAACACTAAAGCAACCTATTTTATTTATGAAATTGAGATGCGACTTGATACATGTTCATAACAAGGACACGTACAAATTTGTGACAAATTTCTGTTCCTGTTATGAAAATGTATGAAGTCTTGAAGATGTGTGCGGCATCCCTTTAGTTTAAAAATACCTACAGGTTTAATGTAAGATTGGTCAGTGGCAACCCCTCAACGGATAGCTTTACTTTAAGAACAAATATAGGATAATTCATGCTTCATTTACTGCTTCCCAACACTTAAAGATGAAATGTCTGTCCATGTTATGAACGTTTATCTTGAAGGTAATCCTCTGTAATTTCTGGAATCCTGAGAAATTTATCAAACTTGCTGGTGGACAATGTTCTTACTATAGTGGACATTAAGTAGAAAAAGAAAAAAATGACAGATTACTCCATGTATCGACTTCTGTCTATGGTTCCCCCTAAATGTCACACTTTGGTTACCGTTTGTGTGGAAAGACCCCCAGGCCTATAGCAGTTTTATACAATAGATTTTACTCATTTACATGTATATCTAAATGCCCGCGACTGTCTGTGATACTTAGTGATAATAGTGCATTAATAATGTTATTAATGTATTAAATTGTCAGTTATGTGCTCATCTATGAAAGTCTTACTGACTTCAGTGGTGTGTTCAATATAAAATGTCAAAGCGATTAAAATGGGAAAAAAGGCATTCATTTCGCAATAATACTCACTGTCCACTGTGCGTGCAGTGCAGATTGAGTTTTTTGGGCGGGGTGTATGGCGTGTCAAACGTTGCAATATTCAATATTTTGCAATATATATGTTGGATGTTCAATATGTGTTTGTTATCTTTTACATTTATGTGCGATGTTCAATATAAGTGTGCGATGTTTTTCATTATTTGCGCGATGTTTAATATATTTGTGCGATGTTTTACATTTATATGCGCTTTTCAATTTATATGTGCGATGTTTTTGACGATATGTGCGATGTTTTCAATATTATGTTAGATTTTTGCATCAAATGTGCGATGTTTTGCGATACAATTGTGTGTGTTGTTTTACAATATATTTGCGATATTCTCAAATATGTGAGCGATGTTTTAAACATATGTTTGACATTTCGAGCTATTCGTATTCGATGTTTCATCGGTATGTTTGCATTCGATCTTTTGCAATATGCATTTGATATTTCCTTTTTCATTCGATGTTTCTTGAAGAGTCAAAGTCTGGTTACTAGACCGCAAAAGTCTGACTATTTTGCCTAAAGTCAGTGTATGAGACGTCAGGGGATCGCGTAAAGTGATTAGAGCCAGACCTAAACGGTAAAACCGGAAGTGTGGGTAATTCTTTAAGCATATACGCAATGCGTTCATCATTGTTTGGGCAGTACCCCCAGCTGTGCCTGTACTACCCATAGTGTTATGTGCATCATCTATGCATTGCATTGAGGAGTGCATGACACATGGTCTGAGCTCCAAGGCCGATGTGCACCTGTCCCGTTTAATGATCCAGTTACCTGTTAATTTGTTACCTGTTAATTTGTTAATAATTTGTTAGCATAAGCTGATGTAAAATTGGGCAAAATTAGATGTTTATGAAAAAAAATCAAATTGTAAGGGGTTAACCTTGCATTTTTTAAAGCAAAATCGGGAAAAATCAGATGTTTCTGGAAAATTGCAGATTGTATGGGGTTAGATGTTTATGAAACACTTTCAAATTGTAAGGGGTGAACATTGCATATTTTAGCGAAATTGGGCAAAATCAGATGTTTCCGAAAAGTTAGAGATGTAAGGGATTATACCTTGCTTTTTTAGTGAAATTTTGCAAAGTTAGATGTTACGAAAAATTTCAAATTGAAAGGGGTTGACCTCGCATTTGTTTAAAGCGAAAATGGGAAAAAATCAAATGTTTCTGGAAAATTGCAGATTGTAAGGGGTTAACCTTGCTTTTTGAATAAGATTAGGGAAAATTAGATGTTCATGAAAAAAAATCAAATTGTAAGGGGTTAACCTCACATTTTTTTTTGCAAAATAGAACACAATCAGATGATTCTGGAAAACTGCAGATTGTTAGGTCTTAACCTTGTATTTCTAGCAAAATTGGGCAAAAAGAAATGTTTATGAACAAATTTAAATTGTAAGAGGTGTACCTTGTATATTTAGTAAAATTTGGCAAAATCAGATTTGTATGAACAATCTAAAATGGTAAGGGGTTAATCTTGCTTTTTTAGCAAATTTTGGAGCATATTTTACTAAAATTGGGCAAAATCAGATGCTTCTAAAAAATCCAGATGTAAAGTTTCCGCAAAAACAGCTGTTGAAAAAGAGCCCAATGTTGAACTTTACTGAGTCTGAGGTCTATCGAGGGGACGATCCTTATTTCAACTCCCGGAGATTTGCTGACAGTCTCTATTTTTCTTTTTAAGAAAGTCGAAATAGCTGAAGAGGGAGGTGAGAATCTATATGTGCCCAGATACAAAGAGTAGAAATCTACGCGTCTGCCTTTTGAAAATACACAATTGCGGTGTTCATTGTTGCGTAATGATCCGCCTAGCACACGACTGTTTTGCACATTAGGCTGTGTTATGCAGCTTCCTAACAAACCAAACACACTGGGCTCATTATATCGACTTGTTTTTACCCATTAAGGTAAAGCAAATGGACCCAGTAATCTTCCTGGCGCGTTTGCTCACCTATAAAGACAACTTTTCTCAGTTTAAGGAAAATTCTAAGGTAACGAAATGGCCGAGTGGTTACGATTCGTCGTCCATGGTTAGCGGGGTCCCGGGTTCGAATCCCGCTGGTGTCTTTTTGGTTTTTAACGTATGAGTTAAATTATTCACTATTATAAGAGATTTAATTTCCCGTCGTAAAGTACCAACAGTACCTTAGCTTAATCGGTAAGCACTGCTGCTGGTACTGTCCGCGAGTTCCAGGTTGGCGCCTTCGTACAGGTTCAGGGCATGTGGTCCACTCGGAGGATCAGGGCTTAGGGGCCGCCCTGTTCCTCCCTTAGCTCTTTGCTTTTACATGGTGCCTGGCCCTCCGGGGTTATATGGATGGATAGGGAAGGAAGTGTGTATTGGTCGGGGACGCCGAGACCCCGGAAGAGAACTAAGGGATCGGCTGGGGCATTGTTATGGCTCAGACCGATCCCTGAAAGCTTGACTAGCACATAACTTTTTGATTTTTTTTACCCTCTATCTTTTATACTTTGGTTTAGTTTGATATCTACAGCTGCTCGGCAGGTCTACGGGTAGTATCAAAATTGAAACAAAGGTGTATGTCATAAATCAATGAATATTTCATAATTGACTATAATCAAAACGGAGTTTCGTTTGATCAATTTGACTATCATTATAAATTATAATGACGCGATTGCCAATTGACGTAAGAAACGCCATAAATTATACCGGGAAAAAATAAAGATGTACATTGTAATAAAAATATTATGTATACATCTTTCAAATAACGTGTCTTTAATTGTGAGCATTCCAAACAATACAGTAATTCGCAATTGTATTAGAATGGTATATGATAGCACGATCAATGCGTCTCTATTCAATTTAAAAAAATATAATTTAGGTCCCTATGTGTGAAATATTCTTTGATTGACTATGAGCTTTCCATACGAATGAGTTAATTCGCAAAATATAGCATAGCAAAATATATTAACCTTACATTTTAGCAAAATTGGGAAAAATCAGATGTTTCTGGAAAATTGCAGCTTGTAAGGGGTTAACCTTGCATTTTTACTAAAATTTAGATGTTAATGAAACATTTCAAATTGATAAGGGGTGAACCTTGCATTTTTTAGCGAAATTGGGCAAAATCAGATCTTTCTGGAAAATTTCAGATTGTAAGGGGTTAAC